GTCGAAGAAATAAAAATATTCAAAAACATTAGTAACATAAGACAGAAGGTGTATCAATATTTAAAGAACAGAACAACTAAACACTGCATTCTATTAAATAAAATCATCTTATGCAATATGAGTAGGCCTCTGTGGCTTAGGTGTTGCAAACGCGCTTCGTAATGCTGGGGTGCCGGGTTTGATCCATGCTGCGGGCGGGTTTCGCGCTGGTTTTGACAGTGTTACCGAAAGCCAAACATCCAGAAAGCAATGGCAAACTACTGGATGTAAATTTGCCTAGAAAAACCACAACAGGGTTGGTTCTGCAAGGTCCTGTAAAGGATACGCAGCAATGCAATATGACCTTGTCATTAAGAGGCCGTATACAAAAACAAAACAAAAAATTCTGTACTTTCAGGGTGTCAATCCTGGATAGTCAGTCAACAGGCAAGAGAATCAGTTGAATCCATAGATATATTCTTTGATAAGATGTTGAAAATCTAAGGAACCCATTTATATTACATGGATGTTATCTGTCCTGAACATTTGACATTAGTAACGTCTGGTCAAGATTATTTCTAGGGGTCGCAACAGCGGTCCAATTGATGGTTATACTCATGTCATGTCACAAGCAGTGTGCCGTGTTGTCCTCATCTGTCATCTAATGTTTTAGTATCACAAGCAGCTTGTCTCCGGCTATTAGCAGACAGGAATATTGACTTTGTAGATGCAGTTTCAGTGGAGTGGCTACCAACCCCAAACAGTCGGTGGGAAGTGAGCAAAAGTTAGAAGGAAAACTCCAAGTGGGGAGCATTCACTGCAAAAGTCTCCCGATCATTTTCAACAATGTTTTGGCCCGTTTATCTCCTAAACATCTTCCAAGGGCAGGCTGATCCGGGTCATTTCATCCGGGCCTTAAACTCTGCTGCTGCTGCACATGTGACAATCGGAATGAGACTGAGGTTATGGTGATCATGGCTATTGCATGGTAGCCAGACAGACACATGCTGCAGTGGTCAGGCGTGAAACAACTCTTCAGCCCCTACCACAGGCCTTATCTCAAACCACCTTTGGTTGGCTATGACACTATATGCCACACAGCTGCCGTGTTTGTTACTCGAACCCTGTTCAGTGCATCACCTCAGCATTAGTCCCAGAGGATCAAGCATTTTTGTTCAAGCAGACCTGTGAGCCAGGACAGGGCTTCATTCCAACCTTGCTGAATGCCAGGGCTATTTAATGGCAGACGGCAAGCCAAGTCTGGCCCACAAAAACCAAAAAAAGTGGTCCACAGATCATTGCCAGATGTACTATATAAATGATCTTTCTATGATAGGGTTCACACCTCTGACCCGTGACGACCTCCATTTTCAACACTTTGGCGATGACTTGTGCCGTGTATCCTGCCAATGATGGTTAGGATTAAGCCGACATTTTGTGACTGGTTTACCAGCCCAGTCTGACAGGATGACTTCCTTACCCACACGAGCCAGAGTGACAACTGGACGGTTGGCTAATCGGACAGAAAGTGATCAGAGAATCATTAATCAGGCAGATGAATATAAACAAACCGATAGGTTTGATGATATGACTACTGTAATAACAAGACAACTCTTAGACCAGGTTGATTCACAAAATGCCTCTCAGAGTATGACTAAAAGAATCGAGTGACAACTGAATCAGCAATCTTGACCTGACTGCTGCAATCAAACCAACCAGAAGGCTGAAGCCAGGCAACAGTGCTGTGCAGAAGTCAACAAGCAATAGTAAACCGACACAGAACAAGTGTTATTTGCCACATACTGAGAGATATTTGAAGAGTGGACAGGAGCATTTATAGACTGAGTGGTTTGGTGTGCAGTGAGAATATGTCGAATGACTAACATAAATAACATTGAATGTGACACTGCTGGCATCTGGCACTTACTAATGAACTTTTTAAAGAACTTACACAATAACAATGACAGCAGCAACTGGCGCAAGCACATAAACCCAAACTTGTCCTGATGTCGTCTCTGTTGAAACAAAACGCAATCATTAGGGAGTGAGTGTGTGTGTTCTTACATGATCCTGTCTGTCTGTCTGTCTGGTCTGGTCTGTGTGTGTGTGTGTGTGTGTGAGAGAGAGAGAGAGAGAGAGAGAGAGAGAGAGAGAATAACTGAATGAATGGGAGTGGTGCAGTGGTGTATGTCAAAACCTTCACCCAGAGCTGAATCATTTGGTATGCTAACAATCATCATGCTCACATTTTCAGTCAGAAGTCAATGTGAAATAATCATATTTGGTGACATTATGATGCCAGTATCAAATATGCTTTACTACAACCAGAGATGAAAATATTACAAGAGATTAAATATCTTAGTAGTGCGTGCTAGAGTAACAAGAGATTACAATTTTTAATGAAACAATTAGAAGACTTGTACTTTGAAACCCGAAACGATTTAGCAGAACAGATCGATGACTGGTTGCTGAACATGTTCCACTATGGGTGGTAAAAACAATGCAAAATACCAACAACAATGAATCAGGTGACTGGTCATAAAAAGCCATCATCAGCAATAGCGTGCCTTCTTCTAAATTCTGGGCACATAGTTCACAAGGATGATGCATTTCAAATTATTTACACTTCGGCCAACTGTAGATTACTGTGATACGCAGAAGGGTCAGTGATCAGCCAGTTTAATCCAGAACTATGCCAACAGAAGGAAATGCTCGTCACTCTGTGACCTTGGTGAGACAGTCAATTTGTGAATGTAATAGATTTTGTGTTTCAGTTTGAAGGTTTCATTTATTTGCTTCATTTTAATTAATTGTTATTGCAGTATGCACCTAACATTTACATTGAAATATGCCAGACAATAAATTGTGCAATCTATTGTTTGTGTCTTCTGTGTTCAAATTTACAACGGGGAAACATTACTTTAATTTATTAAAGATCAATAGATGAAATTATCTGGCCATCTGATAAGAATTCCCTAGTATTATATGTACACACTTCTCTGTTAAGAAAAACTATGAGCACCGAGCAAGGGAAAGACCATGCAAATGATGGAGTGATGGTTTCAAGACCAACCTCAGAGTTATTAAGGCTAACTTATACAGTAATCCCCCAATACTTCACTGAGGTAAATGGAGGGAAAGAGGAGGGAACAGGAGGCTAAAAGTAATTATGCATGTGGTAGGAGGTTGTAGACAAACAAGGTTACTGATGCCATATGGGATAGCCTATAAGAATTATTTTTTAAGGGGTTTTATTCCAGCTGCTTTTACTTTCCAGAATACATCTCTGGAATCCATGTACATAAATAACTGGGTCAATCCAACAATTATATTCATAAGTAGTAAATCAAAGATCTAACGTAGACTCAACCCTGAAATCATTGCTTTAGTAAGTTAGTGCTCTAATGTACAATCAACCCTGAAATTATTGCATTAGTAAGTCAGTGCTCAACCCTGAAATCATTGCTTTAGTAAGTCAGTGCTCTAATGTACAATCAACCCTGAAATTATTGCATTAGTCAGTCAGTGCTCAACCCCGAAATCACTGCTTCAGTCAGTGTATAACCAACCCTGAAATCAAGTCGGTGCTCTAATGTATACTAAACCCTAAAATCATTGCTTTAAGTAAGTCAGTGCTCTAATGTAGACTCCACTCTGAAAGCACTGCACTAGTAAGTCAGTGCTCTAATGTAGACTCCACTCTGAAAGCAATTCACTAGTAAGTCAGTGCTCTAATGTAGACTCCACTCTGAAAGCACTGCACTAGTAAGTCAGTGCTCTAATGTAGACTCCACTCTGAAAGCAATTCACTAGTAAGTCAGTGCTCTAATGTAGACTCCACCCTGAAAGCACTGCACTAGTAAGTCAGCGCTCTAATGTAGACTCCACTCTGAAAGCACTGCACTAGTAAGTCAGTGCTCTAATGTAGACTCCACTCTGAAAGCACTGCACTAGTAAGTCAGTGCTCTAATGTAGACTCCACTCTGAAAGCAATTCACTAGTAAGTCAGTGCTCTAATGTAGACTCCACTCTGAAAGCACTGCACTAGTAAGTCAGTGCTCTAATGTAGACTCCACTCTGAAAGCAATGCACTAGTAAGTCAGTGCTCTAATGTAGACTCCACTTTGAAAGCACTGCACTAGTAAGTTAGTGCTCTAACCACCATGCTATCATAGCTTGTTGAAAGAAATAAAGCAGGTAAAGCACCTTTTTCACGCCATGAGTGCATGTGGCATATGGTGCTAGACCCACATGTTATAGAGACTAACCAGAGCCCGATGGAGGTGTGATCAACATAATACTGGCCACCTTTATTTCCACAATACTTCTGGGTATGTATTTTGGGCTAGGGCAACCTAGGATCAATTATAAAAACTCTGTCAATGCAGATTTAAACTCAAGACCTTTAAATTTGTAAGCAAGCATCTAATTACTACACTATGTGGTAAATGTTGAAAGAAACAAGTACATGAAGGATACCTTTATTATAAATTCCAACAGATGATAGAGTCAACTCTGGTGCACTCAGACCATCTTGTCTGAATGTCTGGATACATACAAACCGAGTGCCTGGTGGAAGTTTCAGTAGGTTTGGTTGAAACAGAGTGTTGTTGACTCGGCCGAGGTAGTTTTTATCTGGAAGAAAAGAATTACACTTAGAGCAGCCTTCATTTATTGTGTTACCCAGAACCCCCTAGAGTTTTCTGATACACAGAGTATGTTCTATGATACAGAGAGTTTGTTCTCTGATACAGAGAGTATGTTCTATGATACAGAGAGTAGGTTCTCTGATACAGAGAGTATGTTCTATGATACAGAGAGTTTGTTCTCTGATACAGAGAGTATGTTGTTCTCTGATACAGAGAGTATGTTCTATGATACAGAGAGTTTGTTCTCTGATACAGAGAGTATGTTCTCTGATACACAGAGTAGGTTCTCTGATACAGAGAGTATGTTCTCTGATACACAGAGTAGGTTCTCTGATACAGAGAGTAGGTTCTCTGATACAGAGAGTATGTTCTATGATACAGAGAGTATGTTCTCTGATACAGAGAGTAGGTTCTCTGATACAGAGAGTAGGTTCTCTGATACAGAGAGTATGTTCTATGATACAGAGAGTATGTTCTCTGATACAGAGAGTATGTTCTATGATACAGAGAGTATGTTCTCTGATACAGAGAGTTAGGTTCTCTGATACACAGAGTAGGTTCTCTGATACAGAGAGTATGTTCTCTGATACAGAGAGTTTGTTCTCTGATACACAGAGTATGTTCTCTGATACACAGAGTAGGTTGTCTGATACAGAGAGTAGGTTCTCTTATACAGAGAGTAGGTTCTCTGATACAGAGAGTAGGCTCTCTGATACAGAGAGTAGGTTCTCTGATACATAGAGTAGGTTCTTTGATACAGAGAGTAGGTTCTCTGGTACAGAGAGTAGGTTCTCTGATACAGAGGCTCACAAGGAGCTCATGTGAGATCACGGGGGTTTCAAGAGAGTTTGGTAGTGGTTCTGTAGCAGTTTGTACCAGAGCAGAGGGAGAAAGAATGATAAGTAATAATTTAAACTAACAGAACCTTTGATCTGACCTGGAAATCACTGGACTCCATAAAGCTCTTCAAGCGCCACAACGGATTTGAAAAAAACGAATTGTCTTTTCAGAATTTAACATTCCAGTCTGCGTGTGTGTGCACCCACATGTGACACACGCAGCACGCACAATCACACCCACACACAATGTGAGGGAGAGACAGAGAGAAAGCAAGAGACAAAGATAGAGAAAATAACTGTATGCAGGAATGAATGTGAGAAAGGAAAGAAAATGGTACTGGTGCTTGTCTTTTTTTCTATCCCAAGTAACACACTATGTAATGCTAAAGAAATCTTGCCAAAAAAATGTAACATGCAACTGACAGATCATTTAATGAGTGTTTGAAAGTAATACATTCATATCTTTATCAGCGTGGTTCCTGTACCTTTTGATGTATGCTACACAATTTTATGGAACTCAAAATGTTTAGTTATTCTGACAATACTCTATTAACCACTGAACCATTTTAGGTCAGAGATTTACAGAAATCTGCTTTAAACAAATGACCTTACTAGCAGTATAGCTTTTCCCATAGCACAAAATGACCACACACACAAAAAACGAAAGCATGGAAACTTACCTCCATTACAATGTTCATCTGTTGAGGAAAACACAAAGAAATATTCAGCCAAAAATTGCAGTGGAATGTCAGTATTACAATCCTGGCTCCATCGTAGTATGACGCTATCACTGCCACTGTCAACAAAGTCACTTACTATCAGTGACACTTTATCTATGTGAAAAAACAAAACATTTATTAATAGTATTGAGTCATTCAAGAATCATAAAGACAAAAGCATAAAGACAAAAACAAAACTAAAACATTGCAGTGTGAAACATTTAGGAAGATAACCAGGCATTTAACAGCATATTCATACCACCACTGTGCTTATTTGTATCAAATTTTAAAAAGCAGCAGAAGAAGAACAAGATGAAGTACAAGCAGGAGGAGAACCAGCGGTCAAAGAAGAAGAATAAGCAACAGGAAGGGATGAAGAGTAAGCAGGAGGAAGGGAAGAAGAATAAGCAGGAGGAAGGGAAGAAGAATAAGCAGGAGGAAGGGAAGAAGATTAAGCATGAGGAAGGGAAGAAGAATAAGCAGGAGGAAGGGAAGAAGAATAAGCAGGAGGAAGGGAAGAATAGTAAGCAGGAGGAAGGGAAGAAGAGTAAGCAGGAGGAAGGGAAGAAGAATAAGCAGGAGGAAGGGAAGAAGAGTAAGCAGGAGGAAGGGAAGAAGAGTAAGCAGGAGGAAGGGAAGAAGAATAAGCAGGAGGAAGGGAAGAAGAGTAAGCAGGAGGAAGGGAAGAAGAATAAGCAGGAGGAAGGGAAGAAGAATAAGCAGGAGGAACAGAAGAAGAATAAGCAGGAGGAAGGGAAGAATAATAAGCAGGAGGAAGGGAAGAAGAGTAAGCAGGAGGAAGGGAAGAAGAGTAAGCAGGAGGAAGGGAAGAAAAATAAGCAGGAGAAGAAGCAATAGCACCAGTGTAAGAAGAAATGTTTATTACACCCAGCACTTATCTGGTCCAACCAGATATACAACATGAGTACCAGAGCATCGGTAGGCATCTATAGCTTAGTTGTTACAAACTTGCCCTGTCATTCTGTGGTGCCAGGTTTTATCCCAGCTGCAGGTGAATTAGCAACAGATTGCCTTGCCTTGGTTTCAACAGTGGTATTGAAAACCCACTGTTCAGAAGCAATGGCAAACTAGTGAACGTAAAATTGTCCTGTGAACTAAAAAAAAACAGCCAAGAAATGCTGGGGTTGGTTATGCAACGTCTTTGGATAGCCAACTAACTTTTAACAGAGCAGGTTCACTTTTCTAGGAATGAAATGCATTGATTAACTATAGCAATGTGTCAGTGCCATTTCTCATTGAGAACTGATAATGCCTCCCAACCCCACTTTTCCCAAATATGTTGCCAAACATGGGGATTCACCCTAGTGTGACTTTTCTATGACTTTAAATGTGGCTACAAATTTTTCACTTGCCAATTGTTATTTTTTCTTTCTGCAACTCTTTTCATTCCTTCATATTTTTTTCCAAAATGTATGCATTTGACTGCGTTTGTTTCCACAAAATACACCCTATTTTGCTGTACATTCACATCTTCAGAGGCTTAACTTTCTAAATGCTCGTGTGTCCAGGTTTTTGTACCATATAGCTGGGTCAAGTATACAAAAAACATTTGACAAATTTAACTATTAAAGAATATAATTATTTTTACTTAATGAAAAAAATGATTTGTACCTTTCATTGAATCAAAGTAACAATTGGCAGGAATCATGCCTGTGCTCGACATACTCTCCACCATCTTGACGGAAATAAAAAACCTGATTTTTTCTTGACCAGAACTGCTCTGCAGGTCTCGCCGCTTTCGGGTTTCATCATAATATAGGTCATCATCAAATGGGTCAACCACTTCCTGATAAAAATTAAAACCCTCTATTTCCTGGATGGCATGATAATCATACATGATTACTGTAGCATTAGAAGCGTTTGCCATGGCAGGTGATCTACTGAGTGTCTCTATATTGTAGTAATTAATCATTCGGTAATCCTGGATCACTTTAAACTCCACACTTTCACTGATATTAACTACCAATGTCTGATACGTTTTGTTGGTTGCAGTTTTCAGAGTAACGGCAGTCGATTGAGGATAATCCTGGGGAATAAATATTGGAAGGACATCACACATAAAATAACAGCAAACACACGGAGATACAGTCATGATTACCAGTCTAACATTGAATGCTTGTAAAAGAAAGGCAATATTTTTTGTCAGGTGTAAGTGTTCAATCAATGTGTGTGTACATATACTATTGTTTTGTTACTGTGTACTGTGTGTGTACATGTACAAGCATTTCATCACAGTGTGTATGTACTAGGTTCCATCATTGTGTACCGATCAGCCTCACAAGCTGTCTCTGCAAAACAATCACCAACCTCAGACTACAGTGGTACATTGAAAGTGAAAATATCATTACACCACAGCAGGCGGGCTTTAGAAAGTTCTACTCTACGGAAGACCAGACAACATACCTCTCCCAAGAAATAGAGGATGCTTTTCATGGTAAGAAACTGGAACTCGTGGCATGGATAGATTTAAGGAAAGCTTTTGACAAGGTTTGGAAGGAGGGGCTTTTGAAGAAATTGAGAAACTATAAAATAAATGGAAAAATTTACAACTGGATTAAAGCATATCTACATAACAGAAGAGGTAGATAGGTACAGGTAGATGGTTTCAAAAGTAAAAACGTTCTACTGTGACAAGGCGTCCCTCAAGGTGGTGTCCTGTCGCCCACACTTTTCCTCTTATTCATCAATGATCTGGTTGCTGAGATACCAAATGGAATCAAAATGGCAATGTATGCCGACGACCTGGTACTGTGGTGCACCAATGAACGATAGCCGCAAAAACACTACAGCGGGCTACATATGCACTTGAGTCGTGGGCGAATACATGGTGTGTCAGCATCAACACAGACAAATGTAGAGCCACACTCTTCACTCTCTCCCCAAAGCAAAAAGCCGGCATCATAAAAATAAACGGAATACCCCTAAGAGACGATAAAGAGCCTAAGTATCTCAGAGTCACATTTGATAACAGGTTGACATGGAGAAAACATATCAACAAGGCAGCAACCAAAGCCAGGAGGAAGAATAAGAAAGAATACTAAGAAAACTAAGTGGAATCACATGGGTAGCCGACAGGAAAATACTCAATAAAGTATACAAATAGAGCATACAACCACACTTGGAATATGGGTCAACTGCATGGTGTTCTGCGTCTAGTACCACATTAAAGGAGGACAAAGTGCAAATTCAAGCGCTCAGAGTCATTACAGGAGGGATGAAATCAACCCCCATATTAGAAATGGAGAAAGCTGGGAAAACACAGTCACTGAGAGAACGCAGAGATACAAAGTTGCAAATACAAGCTGAAAAGTTACTCAGTATGCCAGATCACCCGATGGAAAAAAGATTTCAGAACCTAGCCTTGGGACAGTTAAAAAGAAGCAGCTTTATACATCAAGCAAATAGAATATGTAGATAAATTACTGACCTTCCAGAAATTGGTTGTCCACTTAAAAGTATTTCAGAACAAACCCAATGGAAAGAAAAATGCAAACAGTACAAATCCAGACAAATGTGAAAGGGATATTTGACAAGAAAGAGCAAGATAGTGTACAATGCAGAATGGCCACCCTCAGTTATATTGATGAAGAATACCCACAAGAACAATGGGTCAGAGTCTATATAGATGGGTCCCCACAAAGTGCAGTTAGAAATGGTGGTGCTGGAGTGTACTTAGAATTCCTAGGTACTAGGGATAAGTCCAGCATACTAACCGGGAAGTACTGCCATAACTATGATGCAGAAACTCAGGCTATCAAGATAGCAACAGAGAAACTGCTAAATACCAATCTTGGCTCACAGTATGTGGTAATGCTGACAGATGCTAAATCCATATTTAAAGCACTCCAGTCTAGGAAACTACCAGAATTGCAAACACTGCTGACACAATTCAGCCTTCAGTGAAGAGTCATAATGCAGTGGATACCGTCACATTATGGAGTGCCTGGAAATGAGAAAGCTGATCAACTTGCAGGGGAAGGTGCGACAAAAGTGTAGCCGGATGTATCAGTCACATACCACCAAAAGAAAAAAATCATTAAATCATCAGGAAAGCACAAGCCGCAGCACAAGACGACTATTTTATTTTAGACAGACCAGAACAAGTCATTATCTTCCACCTCAGAACAGGGCACAACCGATTACGTAACCATATGTACACAAAATTCAAGATAGGTGTATCAGCCGTGTGCACCTGGGGAAAAGTGCCCAAGACAGCAGAGCATGTACTCCAGGACTGTGCCGAATTTGACACATTAAGGCATACCTTTTGGCCAGAAAGAACAACCACTGAATGAATTAACAATGACAGTGAAATTTATACAAGAGACAAAATTGCTGATATAGACAACCTATTTCAGGCGAACGAAAGAAAAAAAATAAGATCATAGTGTACTAGGTTCCTCATTGTGTACATGTGCAAGTGTTCCATCACTGTGTGTACATGTCCAAGTGTTTCATCACTGTGTGTACATGTCCAAGTATTCCATCACTGTGTGTACATTTCCAAATGTTCCATCACTGTGTGTTCATGTCCAAGTGTTCCATCACTGTGTACATATGCATGTGTTCCATCACTGCGTACATATGCAAGTGTTCCATCACTTTGTCTTCACATATGTAAGTGTTTCATGACTGTCTGTGTGTTCATATATGTAAGCGTTTCCATTTTTGTGTGTTTATGTGTAAGCAACCACCAGTGTGTGTGTGTGCGTGTGCATGTGTGGGTGTGTGTGTGTGTGTTCCATAACTGTATGTACATATGCAAGTACCATCACTGTGTGTATACATGTGTAAATGTTTCATCGTTGTGTGTGTACGTGCAAGTGTTCCATCATTGTGTGTACACATTTAATAGTTTGATCATTGTGTGTACCTATGTAAGTGTTCCATCACTGTATGTGTACATGTATAATTGTTCCATCATTGTGTGTACACATGTAAGTGTGCCATCCTTCTATGGATACATGTGTTAAATGATCCATCATTGTGTGTGCATATATAAGTGTTCCACCATCATGTGTACATATGTAAGTGTTCCATCATCATGTGTACATATGTAAGTGTTCCATTGCTGTAAGTGTACTCATCATGTGTGTAAGTGTTCCTATCAGTGTGTACATGATTGTGTTTATCCTACATGAACAGGTGTTCCATCATCATGTGTACATATGTAAGTGTTTCATCATCATTGTGTTTACATATGTGTACAATGCTCATCATGTGTACATAGGTAAAGTGTTTCTTCCATCTGTATGTAAGTGTTCCATCATCATGTGTACATATGTAAGTGTTCCATTACTGTATGTACTTGTGTTCAGTGTTCCATGATTGTGTGTACAGGGATAAGTGTTTACATATGTAAATGCTCTAACACTGTGTGTATACATATGTAAGTGTTCTATCATTGTGTGTACAGAACTTTTGTGTTTGCAAAGAGGTTTCCTTATTGTGCATCGTTTGGGCTTCTGCAGGTTTTTAGGGAGCAGCGGAAAATCTTAACAATTGTGAAACCATGGGACATACTCTGCACTCTTTCGTGGGACCTAGGCTGAGGCTGTGGGATAAGGGGTGGGGTTAGGGCCAGTTCTAGATGTTCTTGGGTATTTAAAAGCGGTGTCCTTGTGTAGTATAGATTGTGCGTCATCGGCGGTAATAGCGGAGACACTATAACGTGACACCCCTCTAATATAGACTAGCCTGTGTCACACGTGAAAAAGTATGAATGAATGCCAAAATACGCACTTTTTGGGCCGGACAACATAAAAAGAACCATGTGTACACATGTAAGTACGTACAGGGTTCCATCATTGTATGTGTACATGTGCAAGCATTCCCTC